ACGGTTACCATTAGTAACACACTACACCGTCATGGCTTAAAATCCTGCAGCGCACGCAAAGTCCTTCTGCTCAAGCCAGCACATGTCCAGGCCTGTCTGAAGTTTGCCAAAGACCATCTGGATGATCCAGAGGAGGCATGGGAGAAGGTCATGTGGTCAGATGAGACCAAAATAGAACTTTTTGGTATAAACTCCACTCGCTGTGCTTGGAGGAAGAAGAAGGATGAGTACAATCCCAAGAACACCATCCCAACCGTGAAGCATGGGGGTGGAAACATCATGCTTTGGGGGTGCTTTCCTGCAAAGGGGACAGGACGACTGCACTGTATTGAGGAGAGGATGGATGGGGCCATGTGGGGCCACCCTGAAAGATCTGGAGAAGACCTGTACGGAGGAGTGGGCCAAAATCCCTGCTGCAGTGTGTGCAAACCCGGTCAAGAACTACAGGAAACGTCTGAGCTCTGTAATTGTAAACAGGTGTCAGTACCAAATATTAAGGTCTATTTTTCTATTGTATCAAATACTTATTTCATGCAATACAATGGAAATAACTTATTTAAAAATCTAACAATGTGATTTTCTGGATTTTTTTTGTAGATTCTGTCTCTCACAGATGAGGTGTACCTATGATGAAAATTACAGATCTGTCCATTCTTTGTAAGTGGGAAAACCTGAAAAATCGGCAGTGTATCAAATACTTATTTGCCCCACTGTATTAGCCTACATTCATATAACAGGCCTCAGTTCCAATGTTTTTAATTGGATCTGATTTTTCCGTATTGATGGTTCACATTCATGTTTGTATGCAACATGTATCTGACTCCATGTGTGAACACCGTTGAACATGCACAGTTAACTGAAATTATGACAATTGTATCCATGATAGAGGGTGGTACAAAATAAGATCAAGAGCTCAACATCTTAGTAACTCAACTCCTCTGTTCAAGCTTTTGCCTAGAAGGGAAATAAGAAAGGAAACAATATACGTTTCACAGTTAATTTGGGCCAAAGTTCTGAGCCAGATCAGTAGATTTTGGCTTGTAACAACACTGAAGACCGCAGGTTTAGTAACACTGTGTGGGCGGCACAGTGACCTAACTACAGCACCGCAGTATTTTCTGAGAAATAAGATTCAACACACTCAACTGGCTTTACAAAGTAGCACTGAAATAAGATGAAAACTGTATGAGAAATTACCATGAGACAACAACAACAGATGACACGGCACATCTTTTTTAATAAACTAGCAGAAAACATGTTAACTGGGCCAAAAACGGACTGAATTAACAGGTTACTAGAAATAATTATGCTACTAGGTGATATGGCAGTTTGCGTTGAACATTGTGTTGCCTCAGCCTCTGGCACAGAGCAGCTCCGTGTTTGGGAGCTGCCCTGCATCAAAGAGGTGAGGAAGACATTTCTTTCTTGGCCTGTATGAGACTCACACAGGCCAGGGCTAAAAGGACAAGTGAGGGTGTCTCTGAAGCTTTAAGTAGCACCACACAGTCTCAGACTACATCCTCCAATAAAGTGTGAAAGTGTGAAAAGTTCTTCATCCACACTGAAATACTAAAACAGCAGCAAAATGTAATAAATGACAGGAAAAGATGTAGAAGTAATCTTAAATGGACAGTCACAAAAACAATATCAAACATTTACTGCTCAAACAAAAGTATGAATGAACACTACAAGAACTGACAAATAATATGCTCAACATGCTCATACAATAAAACAAAAAAAAGAAATGATTAAACACTGGTGACACTGATCCTTTAGTAAACAGTAGGCTATGTAGTCACACTAAACATCATTTCCAAATAATATGGTGCAATCCTCTGACAACATCTAGAGAACTTGTGTGGGGGAGTCGGCCTGTTCTGCTGTTAAAAGTCTGGGATAAAATCCAACACACTCTAATAAGCGCCGTTTGATATGGAGGTGGTAAAAACGTTTTATGTTGGATGTCTGACAGAGCCCGACATTTTGGCATTGATGCCTGGCAGCTCTGGAAATGTCAACATTTTCATCTGGTCTGGTTGGTTCTCCAAAAAGCTAAAACTCTGTGTAAACGTGTGTGCCTTGTATGCATGACTTACCCGTCGAAGGTCCAGCACATCCTGCAACATGAAGCGGATCCTGGAGCTGGTCTTCCTCTCCTTTATTATTTTCTCCATCTGATTAAAGTACTGGTCCATACGAGGCTAAAGACAAAATGCGACAGTTTTCTGAGTGTATTTTATGCCTATGTGAATGAACACATGTATTCATCTACTCATCACACTAATGGTGAGTCTGTGTGTATTTTGTACCTTGGCCTTCTCAAAGTCCAGGTCCTTGCCGATGGTGGACAACAGTCTACACAGGCACTCCAGGGATTCCTCATCATGGTTTTTGAGCAGCTTTACAATGCAGTCATGCATGATGACCTCTGTGAGCATTTTAAGCTTGAACAGCTCCCCAATAAACTTAATATTGCCCAGTGAGCGCCTCCTGGCCTTTTCTTTAGCATCTGCTAGCTCTTCAATGAGTCGCTGCTTCTCCTCCTCCTGTGAGGGAAATGATGTCACATATAAGAGGGAAGGAGAGGAAGATGGGATAGCTTACAACGTATTACAGTGGACATCTGAATAACTTTTCAGAATTTTTGCATTCAACACAATGAATATCCTTCCTCTCACTATACATCAACCCTTTACAATCAACATGACATCGTTGTTGCAAAAATAAATTATTTTATGGGAAGCACTATACCCCTGATGCAGCCTCAAGCTCTTTCTGCTTCTTCTCAAAGATCTCATCGTCATCTTTATCCTTTTCGAACTCTTTCTGGCATCGATTCAGTAGCAGCTTACGGAAATTCACAGTGACATCAGGCTTATCGGTGGTTCGGACTTTAAGCTAAAAAGAGCAAAGAATGTGTATTAGCAAAGAGCAGAAAAAGACATGGAAATGGCTCCACAGTTAATCAGTCCAATCACTTAAATCAGCAACCCAGACACATTGGTGTGGGAGTCATATTCCTTTTGATGACTATACAATAATAAATGCATGACAACAGATGTTCTCCTAAAATGGACCAAGTACTAGTTGTTGCAATTACAAAGTGGGCTTGCAACATTTACAGTGTTGCATTATGGGTTGGTTATAGCTTTAATATTGCTAGCCTAGCAAGTGTCTTGATTTTCTTAAAAGCCACTTTAAGTGTGTTTTTTGGAGTTTGTCAGTCTGTACAGTGTGTTGTTAGCCCACTTTAAGTTATACAAGTCTGTGATAGCTTGTGTAACAAGCATTCCCATTTCCCAGCATCTTTAGCATGAAAACAAATCATCTGTCAACTGATCAAGAATTAGTGTCACAGAAAGTCTTGATGTAGCTCAGTCTGAATAATATAAATTCTTGACTTGTGTGAATTTTGCTAATTTAGTACCAGATGTATTCTCACCACAAAAACAGCCTGTGGTTTAAAATCATCACACAGATATGTGCTTTTTATACGAGAAATTAAATTTACTCATTTTATTCTTTAAACAGTGTCATACAACTCAGCATTGTGCTCTGTGCACAAC